ATCCTCATCACTCGCGGATTCCGCATTTGTGAATCTGTCTACTCACTATGATGTATTTGTAACCCCCAAATCAATACTTGCGATGCTTTTGTGGTCATTTGTGGACGTGTGCAGAGAGGCCAAAACTTCGAGTCGCCTGAAGCACACGTTCTCAGCTGAGGTCAAACAAAGCGATGATGCTCTGCTCACTTGTTTCAGCTCTCACACTGTCAACAAGTATCGTCTTCATGGTCTAGTTAGTGCCAGGTGGTTTAGTTAGTGCCAGGTTTTTCATATTTTTGTGCATTTGTTGATTTCACAGTTTAAAAGGGCCTCCAAGGGTCGCTGCTGAAGTGCTGTCTAGTGTTCCTAAGCACAAGAAGGCTGGGATGTGCCTTACGGAGAAAACGTGTGCCTTGGATAAATATCATTTAGGCATGAGCTATAGTGCTGTTGGCTATGAGTTCAGTGTTAATGAAGCAACAATATTAAATAAGGTGTCTTTGAACAGAAATACACATAAAATAAAGGTATGTGTCGATCAGTTGATGAAAATGCTGTGAGCAGAGGTTTGCAGGAACCCAACACTATATTTCTCCTGGGAGCAGTGGTTCAGCATTCACTAATTCAGGGTTGCCAGAAACATTCTATAACATGACTACCGTGGATTAACGAGAATCAACTGTCTATATTTCCAGACTGGATCTCCCTCCAGAGCTCCAGACTCGTATTTCAACTGCCTCCTTGACCTTGCAAACTTTGATAAATCAAAACCCGAACTCCTGGTAATATTTCTGCAACATGCTCCTCCCACAAGCCACATCCCGCTTAAAGGCACTAGCACCCTTCCAGGTGCTCAGGTCAAAAAACCTTGGAATTATCCTCAATTTCTCTCTCAATTTTTCAGAAAATCTTGATGATACTACCTTCAAATTACATCTGGAATCTGACAGCTTCTTACCACTTCCAGTCTGCCAACCTGGCCCAGCCTCCGCCATTTCTCACTTGGATAATGCCAACTGGTCTCCTTGCTTCCACCCTGGCCCTCCCCCTGCCATCTATCCCTATCCTAGCCTGTCTCCTAGAGGAATCCTGGTAAAAGTCAGATCATGCCATGCCTCACCTCAGAACCCTCCAATGGCTTCCCGCCACCCTGAGTAGAAACCAGAGTCTTGACAATGACTTATAAGTCCTGGTCTGCACAGGCACCACCTGTTACTTCTCTGACGTTATCTTCCATTGTTCTCCTCGCTCCTGCTGCTCCCTCCTCCACCCCCATACTCCTGCCTCAGGGTCTTTGCACCTCCTTGCAATGCTTCTCCTCCAAATAACAGCATGGCCAGCTCCTTCACTTCTGTCAAACCTTTACCCCATGGTCACCTTCTTAGTGAGGACTGCCCTCATCACTATATTTAAAATTGCAATCCCCTCCATACACACACCCTTCCTTTCTCTTTCCCACTTGATTTTTCTCCATAGTATTTATCGCCATCTAAGATACTAATCAATATGCTTAGCTGTTTGCTTATAGTCTGTCTCTCTCCCACTCAAATGTAAGTACCAAAGAGTGGGGGATTTTATCTGTTTTTCTTTTCTTTCTACTGACGCATCCCCGGTGCCTAGAACAGATGGTAGGCACTAAATAAATAATTCTTGAATGGATGAATAATGTAACACTTACCATACATTATTCAATGCACCTGTTTGCCCTCTGTCTCTCTCAATACCGTGAACATTTTGAGGTCAGAGACTCTGTCTTATTCATATTTGTATCGCTAACACCAAACCACTGTGCACAGCACATAATAGGAATTCAATAAATGCACGCTGAATGAATGGAAGGGGAGGAGAGCAAGAAAAAATTGCTAATTTTCACGAACCTTGGGTTTTTATCCAATTCAGTAAGCATCTGTGCAAAGATGAATAAGATAGTCCCTACTCTAGAAAAATCCACAGTGCAATGGGGGAGAGACACAGATAAATATGGACTCTGATACAATGTGATCAGAGCCATGGTGAGAAAACGGTTAGAAAGAGAACTAGGATGACAAAGGAGATGATGGGTGTTGGGAATGCAGTCAAATGGGGTAAGGTAAGCTGGGCTTTGATGGCTGAATAGGAGCTTGCCATGCAGACTGTAGGGGAGGAAACAGCCCAAGCTCAGCTGCTCACTGTCTGAGGTATGTCTAAGTGGACACGAGCTCCCCAGTGTGGCCCCTTCCTTGCTCTAAAAGGTCTCCCAGGAGTCTCAGAGCTCCATAAACATGAACAAACAGAACTGCTATATTCCCACAGTCCTCCCCTTCCCTCTCCCCACTCAAACGCGGTATCTGACAAGAGAACTACCCGATGGCTCCACTTCCCGCCATTCAATGTAGCGAGAGCAAGGGCCCCATCTACACATCCCTCCCAGCTCCCAGACTCATCCATGTCTCACAGCTATACAGAACCAGACCACTCTGACCGCAGCCACTTAGAAACCCAGAGAAACTGCCATTCCGCGGGCTCTGCCAAGACGCAAAGAGGCAAAAATCAATTTATAGGGTGCTAGAACTTTCCAACATCAGAGCCAAATATGAGAACAGTGTGATGCATATGTAAATATGGACATTTTTTGTCAGAACATTAAATTGTAGCCCGAGAGCCGACTTCCTGAAGGGGGACGCCGGGCAGGCCACAGCACCCTGGGCAGCTTCTCAGCCCGGGGTGGCCCGGGCACCAGACTGCTGAAGAGAGCAAGGCCATGCTGGCAAGGAGACTGGACACCATGACCTCATAGGCCTTTTCGTTTTCTAAGGTCTATGATTCACCATGGCTGGAACAGGCTTCTTTCCTCCCCATCTTTTCAGAGAAATGAGAACAAGCTTGTCTCATTCATTTTTATTTGCCGCATGCCTGATGGCTTGGACTGAGTTGGAGAAATTCTGCATACACACCGCATACACTCACATTTCCACCCACCACCCCCACCTCCCGGGCATACACATGCGTTTACACGTGGATCTCACACCACAGCCATGACTCCAAGTGCCCCGACGGGGTCCAGGCTCTTTTTGCAAGCACACTTTACTCTCCTAGAACAGAGATTGCTTCCTGTGCCATGAATCTCCATCAGGGCCTGCGCTGGCCTCTTCAACATGAGCAGAACCATCTCTCCTTTTCCATCTAGTGCATACACATAATCCAGGGACACAATCCCTGCCTGTGACCGTCAGGAGCTAAGCAGCACTGACCACTCCTTCTCCTCCCCTGCCACATTTACAACATCATCTCCTTCTAAATCTCTGTTGCTTCCTTCCCTTTTCCTCATGTTATTCTCCATTCCCCTCAGCCCGCTCTTTTCTCCTCTGAGTTCTTTTAAAAAGGAAACAGCTGTGACATAACACCCACTATTATGTAAGAATTTGAAGGGCTTTGAAGAGCCTCAAAGGTCATTTGGAGTTTCCCACAATGCTCTGGGACCCCTGCCCATTTAGTTTGAGGCCTGCTTTCCTCAGCCTGCCTGGGAAGGTCACGTGATTGTACCTAAAACCAAACAGGAATGACACTGCTCCTATAACATCACCTCCTTTCTTTCAGGGCAGTCTTACTGTTATTAAGAAAGGCCATCCGGGGCCGGCCCCATGGCATAGTGGTTAAGTTTGGCGTGCTCTGCTTCAGCGGCCCAGGTTCGTGGGTTTTGATCCCGGGCACGGACCTGCACTACTCGTCAGCCACACTGTGGCAGTGACCCACATACAAAATAGAGGAAGACTGGCACCGATGTTAGCTCAGGACTAATCTTCCTCAAGAGAAAAACGAGGAAGATTGGCAACAGATGTCAGCTCAGGGCTAATCTTCCTCAGCAAAAAGAAAAAAACAGAAAGGCCATCATGGTTTGCATGATAATTCAGCCTCCATCTTCCAAAAGCCTTTTCCATTCTCATTTTTACCCCTGCTCTCAGAATTCCTAGCCTGTACCCTCTCCCCAGACCTCTTCCCACTTAGGGCTTCTGCACAAGCTGATGTCTCTACCTGGAACATTCTGTCCCCTAACTTTCCCATGCTGGCTGCTTCTCATCATTAAGGCAAATGCCCTTCTCCTCCTTGTCCCCTTAACCATCCTAATCCTTCCTCGTACCTTGTCACTCTATCGCTTGCCCCCATTCTATTTTCTTCGTAGCACTTATTATGATCTGAATAATCCTGTTCATTTATTTATTTCTTTGTTTGCTGTCACTCTCAACTAAAATGTAAGCTCCGTGAAGACAGGCACCCAATCTGTCTCATTCACGCCCTCCCAGTGCCTGGAACAGCACCTCGTACACAGTAGGGACTTTAGTATACATTTGCTGAATGAATATGTTCATGTAAATGGAAGTCTCAAAAACTTCACAAACAGTTCCAATGGCCTTTCTCCAGGTCCCCAGAAGACAGAAGATGAATCTCAGTGTGCAAGTGTTCAGATCTGCTGTAGCCTTTTCTGCATTCCAGATGTTTGGTACAAAGGATCTGGGGTTCTGATTTTAGGAAAAACCTTAATTCTTGGCTTCTCCAGTACAAATCAGGATTGGTTAATTCAAGAGAGTGACTTTGTCAAGGTTTGAACCAGATTCCTCCTACCAATGTTTTCTTTCTGGCTGCTTCTATTTCAACATTTTAAGTGTTTTATTGTGTCTGCACCTGATTGTTATCTCAGTGTCTCACTGTAAATCCTTTGAAAACATAAATATACATGTAATATTTCTGGTATTAGAACGTGGGAATTCATCTAAATCAACTCCCAGCCTCCAGTCAGGCCCACACCCAAATCAAACAGGATTTCGACCCAACTATTAAAAGGTTTCAGGGGAAATCACTTCCCTTGTAACTCGTTCCAGTGTCTCTCAATCTTTTTATTCTTCCCTCAAGGGAAATGAAGGCAGCCGTGATCATGCGCCAGGCTCAAATGCTTAAGAAGACAGATGAAGTTGCCATGTGGGGACACGCACACACACACACACACACACACACACACAACACACACACTCACACATCCTTACCAACATAGCCTGGGGTTCCACAGGCTGTGGACATCACATCTCCCTTGCCCTCCATTTTTGACAATCCAAAGTCACTGATCATTATTTTGGACTCCTCATCTTGACTGTAGTACAACAGATTTTCAGGCTAGAAAGAAAATAAGGAAAAAAAATTTACAAACTGTGTTTAAAGTTGGGTTCATTGCGGGCGACTCACCAAACCACAAAACCCACTACAATTAAAGACTATACTTGACCTTTAGCCATAGTCAACGCATGAGCAAAAGCCGTGTTGAAGAACAGCAACGTAGACGGCCCTGCACAGTATCAGGCACTTACAGGTTTTCAATAAATGTTAGTCCCTTTCCCTTATTAGTATTTTCTGTAGTTAAAAAAATTAACCAGGGGCCAGCCCGGTGGTACAGTGGTTAAGTTTGTGCACTCTTATTCAGTGGCCCGTGGTTCACGGGTTCGGATCCTGGGCCCAGACCTCCACACCGCTCATCAAGCCATGCTGTGGCGGTGTCCCACATACAAAACAGAGGAAGATTGGTACAGATGTTAGCTCAGGGCCAATCTTGCTCACCAAAAAATAAAAAACAAAAAACATAACCATATATTGAGGCAACCTAGAAAGCTGATGCCTCTCAGGCTTGTCGGCACATTTCTTGGGTTAGGGGAAAGGGGATTCCCAGAAACAAAATTACTTTCGCAGGTGCTACTCTGTTCTGTTTTTTCGACCCTTGTTATAAACTTTCCCTAACCCAGTGTCTCTCTCTGCCCTCGTAACATCCCGGGTCCTGTAGTGCTGGCAGGTGTGTGGCCTTTTCCCCTGTACTGAGCCAGCTGACACCTGCTCACTCCGCTCCCTGGGAAGTAGAGGGAGGTCACGACAGCACGAATTTGAGTTGGACGATCCTGCACTTTCCAGCCACGTGTCCTTAAGTACTCTGAGGTTCTGTCTGCCTTTCTGTAAAATGATGGTTTCTCGCTTGCCTCCCTGAACGGTACACGACAGAGCTCAGGCAGCAGTAACACACGACACACAGCAATAGTTCTGCACATCAGTGGCCCCTCCATGGTGTCTACGCAGTGGGGGTTGAGGGGCAGCGCTCCTGGGATGGAGCAGGGAGACAAAAGAGCTTCATCTGCATAGCGTTTCACGGAAAATTGGACAGTCTTGTTGTTCTCAGCAAAAAATGGGGGCAGGGCTTATGGAGACTGAGGGAGATGTTACGGCCTCAGAGTTTGTACCTGCCACTGGGGGATAATACCTCTGCTGTTGCCCAGTAACGTCCCCCCACCAGGAAAATTCTGAAGATTCACCCAGTGAGTAAGTAATTGTGTCTCTCATTTACACTTAACCTTAAAGGAAACGCACAGGGAAGAATCTGAACTGGGACTCACCACTTCCTGTCTGGCTCTCAATCCGACCCCAAGAGTGAAGCAATAGTCTCTCTTGTCAGTGGTTTGTGGTGAATCTTTGGTTCCTAAGTATTGAATTATAGGAACTGTTCTTACGTAGGGTGACTAGACTTGTTTAGAAAAGTGGCTCTCAGCGTAGTTGTGTGACAGAATCACCTGTGAGAGTACTAAATGTCTGGGGAAATTGTTCTGCAGTAGATTTGAGATTGGGCCCAGGCCTCTGGAGTTTAGGACTCCATGGGGAGATTCTGATGTGCAACCACTGCTGTGAAGAAATTCTGAGGTCTGACCAAGACTCCCTGCTTGACCAAACTTTAGTCAGGCTCCTCTGAGCCCTCTTCTTGACTAGGCCTCGACCTCGCCCTCCTGTCCTTGCCAGGCCTGCACAGCCCAGTCTTGGCAAGACTCCTGCTAAATCGGTTTAGAAAGAATCCCTCACCCTTGATATCTGTTCGAGTTCTTCACCCCTCCACCTTTGATGCTGTTAAAAAAATTATTGAAACACTTGTTGAAGACGGTAAGGAAGACTTTATTCAGGGGGACTACTGCAGTGGGGTTTTGCAGTAGGGAAGAAAGATTGGACTCGACTCCTAATACAATGAGGACAAGTGGAGATTTATAGCCCAGGAGCAGGATGGGGGGTCAGTGGACGGAAATTACTAAGAGGGGACATCAAGGGTAAGGGGGATTCTGGCTACATGAACTTGAGAGCAGTTTTGCTGAAGGCAGGCAGCGTGGTTGGATATGGAGGGTGGGGGATAAGGAACCGATCAGATATCAAGGGTGGGGGGTTTTCGCTAAAGTGACTCAGTGGGATTCTTGCTAAGACTGGACTATGTGGGCAGTGCCAATGGACTAAGGATGGAGAGCCAGTGGACTTGGTCAAAGGAGAGAGTCTGCCAACGTCTAAGTCTCTAGCCAGCTTTTAGCAAGAATCCCCCTGCCCTTGAGTCTCCTCTTAGTAACTTTCCATCCATGACCCCTCGCTCTGCTCAATGGCCATATCCCCACGTGTCCTTGATGAACTTGGAGTTGAGTCCAAATCTCTCCCTTACTGCAATACCCCTCTTGCAGTAGTCTTGAATAAAGTCTTCCTTACCATTTTAACAAGTGTCAGAATAAATTTTTTCTTTACCAGAAGCCAAAGGAAAAAAATACTATCTTTCACCCCAAGTAAAAACACAAAAAGAAATGGCATTTAACATTCACTGTGACACTAATTCTGCGGACAAAGCATGAGATTAGAAGAAAATCAACTGTACGCTTGAGGATGCTTTCAATGAGATTTAAAAGAGAACAAAATCGGCCAATCAATAGTTGAAATAAGAATAAAACTCAGAAAGTGGGGGAAATAACCTAATCAGAATGTGCATGTGGTTCATGATTTCTCTGAATGTTTACTGATTATCCTTTGATGAACAGTAAGGATTGTTCATGGGTACAGAGAAAATTTTTTTTTAAGTTTCTGATTTTCACTCTTCCTGTCCCAGTACTTCTGCAGCTGTAAATCTAAGCAAGGAGTGGAAAGTCAGTGATCTCATGCTCTTAAACAAGTCTGCATCCAGGCAAGAGACTGCCAAAGAGCCAACATCCCTCCTGACACATTCATCCTACAGGAGATGGATTTGGGTCAACAAAGTGCTCTTTTGAGGACAATTACCAAGGAGGGTTAAACCGACTGGACATTCACAGCTTAGATCAACACTCTTAATTGTCTCAGGATTAGTAAAGCAGCAAGGCTTTTCATGGGGGGAAAAGGGGAACAGAGGAAAGTGGGAGAGAACACAGGCTCAGGGATAGTCTGGATGGGGGCCCCCAGTTGCAGTAGGAGGGCTGTGGGAGTCCAGGAGGGGGGTGGAGGGGATCTTGCAATTCTGCCTGGGGTCTTATGTGGCCTAGCACCACCTGAAAAATTGTTTTTCTGGCATCTTTGCGAGACAACTGTTGGCCAATAACTGAGTTGGAATAACAATCCCAACCCTTTAATAGTTCACATAATAAGCTTTCAAAAGATCCGAATCAACACTTCCAATAAAGTTAATGTTACATATACTCATATTCCTAATCTGATGATTCTCAACTGGGGGCAATTTTGCCCCACCCCTCAGGGGACATTTGGCAATGCCTCGAGACATTTTTGGTGTCACAACTCGAGTAGTGATACTGGCATCTAGTGGGTAGAGGCCAGGATGCTGCTAAACATCCTACAATGCATAGGACAGTCCCCCCCAACAAAGAATGATCCAGCTCCAATGTCAAGAGTGCAGGGGCTGAGAAGCCGTACCCTAATCTGAGGAGGCAGTAGTGGACATGTCCTGTCTCAGTCCCTTGTTTTGGAAAAAGGACAATTGATTGTTTCTAGTAGCTTCCTGGGGCAAGAAGACACGAGAATACTTTTATGGAGGGAGAAGGAGATATATTTGCATATGGGGGTGGGGGAGTATCCCCGATTGTGCCCTAATCTTAAATTAATTCAATCATGTTCTCTATTGCTCTGGCCTAGATCATATAGTTTTAACTTTCTTACATGATTATGAAAATGTAATATCCCAACCCCAACTTCCCCCACATAGATCAAACTCCTTTGTGCCTCTGAAAAGAGATCACAAAATGATCCTAGAATGACAATGTTCTTTCCACAATGACAAGCCTGGTGATCTTAAAGCTCCCCAGGCTGGGAGCTGCAAGTACTTCTCCAAAAACATTATGTGGGTGTAAAAAACAGTATTTCCCATACAGGCAATCTGCCTTTCTAAAGGGGAAAGAAACATTGCCCTTCTAGGAGATGGTCTATCTGCTTAGAAATTCTTTCTAATAAATACAGACAACCAGCCCATCACATCACATCTCCGTAGGCACCACACTAATTTGTTCAGAGGCAGCTGCCTGCTGTGTTCTGGAAGCATAGAATCAGCATTTGGTGAGGGCACAAAAGAGCAGAGAAGGCACCGCTGCCTGGCATAGAGGTGCCACGTCAGCTTATCAGCCCTTCCCTAGCCCTGTGAAGGACCTCCAGGTCCTGAAGTCCAGCTAATCACGTTCACAGCCCATTTCGCCCATCGAGAAGCCTGCAAAGGGCAAAGGCTGTAAAGACTTGATTAACATTCCCAAATGTTCTCCAAGAGCGGTTCGCTGGCCAACATCAGCATCACCTGTCATCCCCTTAGAAATGCAAGTTCTCGGGCCCCACTGCAGACCTACAGAATCAGAACCTCTGGGGTGGGGCCAGCAATCTACGTTTTTACAAGCCCTGTAGATGATTCTGATGTAGGCTAACACTTGGGATCCGCTACCCTAGTCAATGGAAAACGATAACATGGAGAGAAGAGAAAACTTTACAGGGAGTCCTTATGAAAGGAAAAGCTACACCATTTTAATACCTTGACACCCAGTACCAGACAATGTGCAGATGCTGAAATTGTTTTAACAAATGTTTACGATTTTTTCTTTAAATTGATTTAGATTTCTCACAGTTGTGTAGAGCATGGCTTCTGTACAACATAATCCCTGTGTTTACGATATGAGTGGTGAGTATGTGTGCTGGGGTGGAATTTATGTCTAGACTGGTGCAGTGAGCTCTGAAGGCTGGACCTGTGACTGCTATAGAATAAAGCCAGATTATGGCCTTGGGTCAACCACACTGCTTTTTACTGTTCCTCAACGTGATATGTTCGATATCCACCCTTGGTACTATATGTTTGATATCTACCCCTCAGTATCTACATAGACCTGGAGAGAAATGTAATGCCAATGTGTCCAAGTAAGGCCCAGATCCTTCAGTGCCTTTGGGTGAAGGGTCACTACGCCAAAAGCCCATAAGGAAAAGATAAGAAAGGAACCGACAGGACATTGGGAGAAGGCTGTAATTGTAGGTCATTTAACCTATCTTTCCTGAAAACCTTTTATTTCCCTTCTCTCTCATCTCATGCCCTCTACCTACTTGCTCCTTTTCTTTCATACAGCGTGTTGTGCCAAAACAGGTCTGGAATTGGAAGAAGACTGAAGAACTACACTGGAAGAAGTGTCTTCATGGCGCATATGTTATGAACAAAATTACCTCTTAGATAGGCGTGAAGTAATACACAACCTACCTCCCTGTGGCCCTCTGGCTGCATAATGGTTATAAAATCTCCTAAACAATGGCCAGGCCCATTGCTCTTCATCTTCTTTCAAGCTACTTCTGGGTCTCAAAGCTCTCGACAACTAACAGTACACAAACGCCCACCGTTCATTCCATCCACATCTACATCAAGGCAATCTCATCCATCCTCTGGAGCCAATCCTCTTGGACAGATGCATTGTGGGTTGCAGAGTGGCTGGAGGATGTTGCTAAGCGACAGCCTCACCTTGAGATCCCTGTGGACAATGCCCATTCTATGGAGATAGTAGACAGCATCCAAAACCTGGCGGATCAGAGTGCTGGCATCTTTCTCTGTGTAAAATCCCTTCTCCACTATCCGATCAAACAGCTCGCCACCAGACACACTGTTGAAGAAAAAAGAACAAATTAGACATTCCAGAGGACCTGTTGAATTGTTCAGGGAAAACCATCAATAAGAGCTTTCAATATGATACAAGACTCAAATTGTATTTCAAAAATGAATCCATTTTCAGATTTAGATTTTGCCCCATCTATTCCCCAGAAGCCATACCAGGGAAGTGTTTCTATGTCATGGCAGTACAAATGTCTGGAACAAAATAAAGGCAATATAAATAAACCAGGACCCATGGACTAGCCAGGCCTGAGAAGTCTCTTCTGACCTCTGCCTCCATCCTGCTGCAAAAATGTAAATTCAGAATAACCTTCTGGAATATCAGCATCATCAGATACAGGGAGATGACACTGGATAAGACGTCTCCTTTGCATGAGAGAATTCCTTAAAGAACCTGGGGGACGGGGGTGTTGTGGGCAAAGCACTGAGCAGCCAACAAGATGTCTGGATTTTTGACCAAGTTCTGCTCCTAACACGCTGAGTGCATGAGCACTCCTTGAATCTCTGAACCTCAGTCTTTTTATCTGTAAAATGAAGGGGTTAATCTAGTCAACTGTTTCCAGCAGAGGGTAGAGGCATGCCCTCGGGGGCCTCAGAACCCGAAAGTCACATATGATTTACAAAAAAAGAAAGAAAAACGACACTCTATTAAATTGCTTTGCTTTGGCTTTTGGTAACAATATTTAATTTTAATTTGCTTTGAATTTCAGATTGCAGTAAACATTTTTTTGTATTTATCAAAAAGGGGCCTAGGTTGGCAAAGGTCAAAAAAGCCCTAGTGGACAACCTCTATAGATCCTTTTAATTTGATATTTTATGATGCTCTGAGTTTTAACAAAGTAATAGAACTGTGCAATCCTGAATAGAAACAATTCAACTAACATCTTAGCCTTCACATTCTCAGAGTATGTACTTCTCTAAGAAAAATAGTGCTCCTTTCAAATAATTTAGCCATCTTGGAAAGTAGTTTCAAGGGATACATTCACACCTTTTTTTTATAAAAAAGAAAATTTCCAAAAATAAAATAAAAAAAGATTTATTTGAAATATTAAAAGCATAAAAGTTTCACAGACAACTTTAACAACTTTAATAGATATAGTAAAAGATAGGCCTAGCAGTAACACACACACATTCACAACACACAAAGCTGATTCATTTTCTGCAAGTCATGGCAATTCATGCACAATGACTGATCCACCGATACCTTCTTTTTAAAAACCTAATAAAGAAAACAGAATTGCAGCTATAAAAGGCCTATGTGTTAGAGTCTCTTCCATTACCTAGAGTCATTCCAAGTGATATTGTGTCGGGATAATGTTTCGTTTCCTAAGCAAACCGAGCAGTCTAGATAAGAAAGGAAAGATGCTCGGGAGAAATAAAAAGCAATTCAAAGAGTGAAAAGAAATTGAAACAACAGTGGAGAGACTATATTTTGATGACCATGTTGCCTAAATGATCCATCCTCAGGTAAGCCAAAATCCCAAGATATCCTCTCTCGGCAGCTAACACCAAGTTCTTGCCAGTCTTCATTTTTCTAGAACCTTTCCCCAACAAGTTTCAATGTCTGAAACTTTGCAGAGCCTGAGGATGTACTATAGAAGATGTACAGCTACTAGTGGTAGGGTGAACCTTCTTCATCCTCTACCATTGGCCCACCTTCCAATAATGGCACTCCTTACTAGTATCCCAGTGCTTTCTTACCACTGGTCTGCCTGCTACTCAGATCCTCTGCTCTGCAGGCTGCTGGAGGACCGCAGGCAAGAATGCTCACTCCTTCCCCATCTCCACCTCCCACCCTCAGTGCTGCTTGATCCACACTTTGCCAGACCTCTCCCTCCCTCAAAACTGATCTTTCTTGCTTCCCATTCTCTCAAAGTCCTCTTTTCTTCTATGTGATCTATAATAAATTAATAGGATTAATAGATTCTATTGAATAATAATATTTGCACTGCAATAGGGCGCCAATGCAGTAAGAATTGAGGCATCAGAGTTGACGTGTAAGATACTGCTATAGTATGTATTGTCACAGAGTCTCAATTCTCTGCACATTTAATATCTCACTTCCGAAATCTCAGTTGCACGAGAGCTTTATTTCTCTGAACATTGCTCAGAAAGAATTTAGTTTCTTTGGAAACCGAGGCACAGGGAAAAGTTTAAAAACTTGCCAATAAAAAAATGTAACAATACTAATAAAAATTGCTCAAATTTGCAAGTCATTTTATACTTTTCAAAAATCTCCTTGGGCCGGCCCTGTGGCTTGGTGGTTAAGTGCGCGCGCTGCAATGCTGGTGGCCTGGGTTCGGATCCCGGGTGCGCATCGAGGCACCACTTCTCCGTCCATCCTGAGGCCGAGTCCCACATACAGCAACTAGAGGGATGTGCAGCTGTGACATACAGCTATCTGCTGGGGCTTTGGGGGGAAAAAATAAAATAAATAAAATCTTTAAAAAAAAAAAAAAATCTCCTTAAGCATAGATCTCAAAAGGCTATTGTTATGGACTGAATATTTGTGTCATCCCCCCAACTAAAATTCATATGTTGAGGCTCTAACTCCCAATGTGATGGTATTTGGAGGAGGGGCTTTTGGGAGGTAATTAGGTTTAGATGAGGTCATGAGAGTGGGGCGCCCATGATGTGATTAGTGCCCTTATTAAAAGAGGAAGAGGGGCCAGTCTGGTGGCGTAGTGGTTAAGTACGTGTGCTCCGCTTCAGCGGCCCAGGGTTCGTGGGTTCCGATCCTGGGTGCAGACTTATACACTGCTCATTAAGCCATGCTATGGTGGTGTCCCACATACAAAATAGACGAAGATTGACACAGATGTTAGCTCAGTGACAATCTTCCTCAAGCAAAAAGAGGAAGATTGCCAACATGTTAGCTCAGGGCCAATCTTCCTGACCAAAAAAAAAAAAAAAAGCAAAAAGGGGAAGAGAGTCTGGGGCTCTCTCTCTCTCTACCATGTGAGGACACAGTGAGAAGGTGGCCATCTGCAAGCCAGGAAAAGAGCTCTTAAGAGGAACCAAATCTGCTGGCATCTTGATCTTGGACTTCCCAGCCTCCAAAACTGTGAGAAATAAATGTGTGTTGTTTAAGCCCCCCAGTCTATGGTATTTTGTTACAGCAGCCTGAGCTGACCAAGACACCCACTTATGTTCAAAACCACTTGCGAACTAGGCAAGGCCAGTGTTACGGTCCCAGAATCACTGATGAGGAGATAAGCCGAGCTTTGTGGCGAGGCGCATATCTCATTCTCAGACTGGCACACCACGCGTAGGCTGGCTGGTTGGCTGCTGAGCTGACTGACAGATTGCTCTCTTGGCGAGCTTCCTACACGCATGGAGCTCCCCAGTTAAATCACGCAAAGCATCAAAACGCAGTTAGAAGGGTCGGGGTCAGGTGAGTGGGGAAATGGAAGAGAATCTTAATAATGGATCGATAAATAAAATTAATTAACAGTACCTATTGGGAGAGAGGCTCAGCTTTGGGGGATACAAACGTGGAAAGATAAACTGGCTACCAAAGATTAAGAAGACAGAGATGGTTCAGAGACAGCTCTTCTCTTCTCAATTCAAACTTTGACATTTATTTAGTACAACCTGCCCTTGTGTGGAACTTGGGTTTGCTGAGTCTCTGATCTTCCTTGCCTATTACAGTGTACTGCTATCATTGTATGTGAATTTTATTTTATTTATTTATTTATTTTATTTTATTTTATTTTTTTGAGGAAGATCAGCCCTGAGCTAACATCTGTGCTAATCCTCCTATTTTTGCTGAGGAAGATCAGCTCTGAGCTAACATCTATTGCCAATCCTCCTCCTTTTTTTTCCCCCAAAGCCCCAGTAGATAGTTGTATGTCACTGTTGCACATCCTTCTACTTGCTGTATGTGGGACACAGCCTCAGCATGGCCGGAGAAGCGGTGCGTTGGTGCACGCCCAGGATCCGAATGTGGGCCAGCAGTAGCACAGCGCGTGCACTTAACCGCTAAGCCATGGGGCCGGCCCTGTATGTGAATTTTAAATACACAGATGTGAAATAGTTTGGTGTAACAATCTCAATAAGATTTTGGTTTATTTGCAAAATTTTAAGTAATGCACATCTCTTCAAATTAAACAATTTGTTAACTAGATTTATTGTGGTGATCATTTCACAATATATACATACATTGAATCCTTATATTGTACAGCTGAAACTAATATAATGTTACATGTCAATTATATCTCAATTAAAAAAAGACTATATGAGTTCAAGCACTGTGCAGTTTTAAGTTTAAGACTGGCTAATTATTTAATTGGATTCACTCATTATAAATTTCTGTCAACTGGACCTATAAAATATTTCATTAGATTTTAAAAAATATGACATTGTGGAATTAACAATATCTGTCAAAATTTAAAATGCACACATCATTTTGCTCCAAAATTTACTTCTAATAATTCATCCTATAAATATTTTTTCACTTGTACACAAAGATACATTCAAGCTAACTGAAACCTTTTTATTTGTAAAATAACAAACAAAAACTTGATATAATTAAATACCCATCAACAGCAAACTAATGAAATTATAAGGGAGCCTACAAATGAGTTAGGTTGGTATGTATTAATATGAAAAAGAAATAATTGTCAAAAAACATAGTTTCAAAGGTGCTGGATCAAGTCAACTGTAAATTCTGATGCCACTATGGTATACTGTAATGTAGTATAACTTTGTCAGCAGAGCACGCATACTTTGTTAATACTAGGCAAACCGTGCTATTCTCTATATGCACTTGAACTTCTCCATCTGATTTTGGTAGCTATTCTTCTCTTATTTTAACATTTACTGCTAACTATAATTTAAAATGTTTTATGTCTTATAACAATATCACCCACACATTCACTAAAAGATAGTACTTACGCTAATGCTGAAAAATGGGCTCCAAAAATCTATTACTCTAGAATAGAAGTTGATACAATAAAACAAAATGAAGAAGGCCAAAGGAAACCAGAATAT